GAGGAATCACGAGAGTCCACCAAAGATATGCGAGCTGTTTTTCGTCCGTGTCATGGTTGAGTCGGTTCCTAGTTTATTACGACAAAGAATTCAGTCAACTGCTACTTGATTTGGACGGCTGTATTAACTATTAATTATGTTCATTAAACTAACGGTATATTAAACGCACACATTGTACTATACCTGAGATAACATATGTACATATACCTATAAAACTGTAGATATGAGCTCTGTGTGTGGTTGTTGTGTGTGCGAGAGTCAAGTTCTTGGGTCCGGACTCCGGAGGCAAAGCCACATTAATGATACGCCATTTGGTTTTACGTACGCTTTCTTTATTGTGTTGTACCACCCCAACCAGTAGGGGGAGTAGCCCACTTCCTTACTACCTGTTAACTAGTTGCTGTTGTTCATATTTATGTCCAGAATTTATTGTCTTTCGAGTGTGAGCCGTATTCTACGGCTGCTAATAAAGCAGATTCGTAGCCATCTAGTGCATACAGCATGACCAAGCTCTATTCGTTTAGCTTGCGCACTCTGATCACATCTTGAGGGATTGTGTAATAAAAGCATCTACTAAACAAGGTTTCCATTTAGCTGTGAGCTAGTTCTAGTTCCAAATGTCGCCTTTATCAACTTAGTTTCTCTCTTCCCTGCTTTCTCATTTCATTATTTCTAAAGTCACGAATTTGAATTATTGAAAATAATGAAAAGTACATTGATAATCTATAATTTAGGTTTCTGTTCATATCTATCTATAAGGATAAAAATAAACGAATGTATTTTTTCTTTCAATTACTTTCCATATCCCTTTCATATGCTCCAATACTTTAACGTGTTGACAAAAATATTAACATAACTTTAACTATTTAAAGTGAAATCATCTTCAATTGCAACCAACGCAAGACACAGCCCACATAACCAACACTCGTCCCTTCCGACCCTTCCCCCCCCCCCCCCCCCCCCCCCCCCTCATCTCCACGACGCCTCTTCATACACTGCTCGACCCTAAAGAATCAAAATCCGAAGTAAAAGTCAAGCTACTCCATTCTCGCATAGCTGGCCGTAGCTCGTAAAGTAAGCAGTAAACAAAGTTTACCTCCCCGCCAACCAACCGCCTTCGCCCTGCCCCTTCCCCGACCCCCTAGCTCATAGGCCCTCACAGTACCTTAAGAAAAGCTACCGCTCATTGACTTGCCGTTACAAGAAAACTTTTGGCCAGCAAGTCGCAAACTAGTTGGGCGCCAGCCTGGAATGATGTGGGATGGGAGATGGGACAGGGCGCAGCATAAATGCGAGAACGAGACGGGAGCATGGAGCGGTAATGTGCGTGCAGGGATGGGGCGGTGCTGGGTGTTGGGTGTTGCGCAAAAGTTGCTAAGAAAATATGTCTACACTTGCCGACATCCGTTTCCGATTTTAGACGCGCGTTGCTCTTGCCTGTGCGTGTATAGACCCAACGCCCGAGGCCTGTTACAAAGGCTAACACACACACACACATAGATATGTACGCATGCCTGTGTAGGTACATTCGTATTGGTGTACAGGACACATTCATTGTGTCTCATTTAGGGCCCGGCCTACACATTGAATGCAAATGGCGCAAATTCAAATTACAAACCAACAATTTCCGCAAAATGTGTTTCGCACTTTTCCTTTCTTCGTTAATTTTTCTATTTTTCTATTTTCATGTACAGTTAATTGCGCATTTCGTTGAGCTGTGCGCCTGTGTGTGCGTTCCTTGCCATCCTTGGATGCCTTTCAACACGGCCACGGCTGTGTTTTCTATTTATTTAATTCATCCACTTTGCAGCAATGTCGTGACATAATTTAAAGTCAATTAGAAAAGCTTCTTCTATTGCTACACAAACAATTCTACGTAAAAACTAACGACTTCGTAATACTCTATTAGTATTAGATTATTAAGTAAACTAACAATATAAATTTAATGTGAAGCCAATCAAAGTTTACTAACTACCTCAATGTTTGGTTGAATATTTGCATGTTTTTGTCGCAACTCGTGGCTGATAAATATGTGAGGACTCACGGACTGAAGCAGCCATTCTTGAGCGAGTCATTTGCTGAAAACATATATGCTCTTACAAATATTTAAACAGTATATGCCTCATATATATGTATGTTGCAAACACATGTATGTAAGCATTCTATAAATGCCCCACGAGCTATAAGTATTTTAAATCAATAATAAAAATTGTTTATACTAAAAATGGTTGAAACTTTATATTAATTAAAATAAATAANTAAATAAAGTTAAATTAAAATTAAATATATATATTTTAAAAAATGAATAAACATTTTCGTATTACCCAATTTCTTAATCAAACCTTGAGCAGAGCAGCAAACAAAGATAAATGCGTATCTTCAAAAGCCATAGATCATTCAGTCTCGAGTTTGCTTGTTAACTTACTATTAGTTACATATATATAAAGAAAAAAAAAAACAAGAATTCTTCAGTCATTTTATGGTTGCATTAAAAAAAAACGAGTTTTATATAGTAAATGTAGGGAAACCGCCGGATGTAAATCCTCTGTAAAGAGGGACATTGAACAAAGTCAATATCCCCTTTAGACCTTCAAAAACAAGTGTATCCAAACATGCATGCATTTGATATGTTAAATTGGATGTTAAGTTTTGTATTTTTCATTTAATAAACTTCCAAGAGAAATCTCAATCCAAGCTTCGAATAGCATTATTTTCAAGACTTTAATTGTTGACCGTTATCATTTTCGTCTTTATCTCAACCTACGAAATGTAAATTGTTCAAGTGAGCCAATTATTTTATTGGTTCATAGACAGAATGACGTTGGCATATTTCATTATCAAAACAGCTCAACCTCAATAACAACACACGTCAATTCATCTGCTTCGCTCCTAACCCAAAAAGTATGAGAATATGAGAAAATTGACATTAATTTCAACATTTCAACGTACCAACTAACAGCAAAGAAGGAAAGCAAAGGAGAGCGCAAGAGTTACTTACAACTGCAGAATACTCATTCCCCATATATCCTATATATACCGCTATGTATTCATATATTTGGGGAAAATCAATAGGGCAGGTCTAAGATAATTTATTGGTTCAATTTTGAGTGAATAACTGTAAAACTATATTGATTACCCGATCCAGTACGCCCTGTCTTGGCGTACATATATTCTATATCTTTTCCAATTGCTCTAGCATCAATGGAGCTCAAGACACAACATAATAAGTATATATCTTTATACAGTCATATGAAGGGTTTTAATAATATTAAATAAATATTGTAATCTCCTACCAACGAAAATATATTTTAGGGATGAGCATTACACAAAAACCAATATACTCATTTTACTCCGAGAATGGGCATACAAATATTAGAGGAAAATTTATCATCTGCATTTCCATAGTGGAGAAAACGGAAGAGAAGCGAGACAAAGAGAGGAGAGTCCAACAAAAATTTGCATGGGTCGACATTTTCTGATTGTGTCTGAGTCCGAGGGCCTACTTGTTGTTCGTGCCTGTTATACAATATTGCTGGCAGGGATGGAGAGTAGGCGCTGGTTGTGAACAATGGACATGCCACATGAATGAAATGTACATCCAAATCGGGCCAATCTCTAGAAAGTGGGCACACAAATGGAGGCGGGGCTCGGTAACAGGCTGCCATCGAATAAAAATGGGGAAAAGCAGTCGGGGAGCTGGGGAGTCTGGAAGTCGGTGAGTCGCGTCTGGCGCGTTGACTTGCTGTTGTGCCAATTTGGGCAGGGTTGCTGTCCTTGTTACACCCTCTAGGCCCAGCAAATAGACAAAGATGGCATATCGATTTTTGCAAACATCTGCTAGCATCAGCAATGCCTATTCGCCATCAAGTATCTTCAGATCTAGCTTATTTTCATTCTCGCCGTTTCTCTTTCAATAGCCAATATTATGTACAGGGTATTGCATAGTCACGCAGTTTCTCCAATTTCTCATCGTAGTTGTATTGTTTGAAGGGCAATAGCAGCAGCAGTAGCAGCAGCCGTCGCATAACAAATTTGTATATTTCGTGTTCTTTTCTTCTTGTTTTTCACCCATTTTATTTATTTTGTTTTGCTTTTGTATACGTTGTTGCAGTTGTTATGGAAAATAAATTGGCTGGTCTTATTTGATGCACAGGTTTGTGTCTACTCTAGTCCAAAATAACAAGGAAGTAGTCGAGTAACAAAAGACTGAATGCCATTTAAGCCCAGATAAACTCGGACTTCCATTTACATTTTTACAAAAGGAGTTAGGCGTGAGAGCCTCTCCATGAATCAAATACAGTCCTGATAATAATTTCTGACTAATGGGTATTACGTATCTATTTAAGAATACACAGAAGTAATATGAATAGCATTCAATTAAGAGCTACAGAGTGAGCCTTATCACTACGTAGCACTCGCTCTTAGCTTTCTATTCGACGCACTACATTAACTTTCTCTGATCATTAAAGTCGGCTGACTTTATAATTGACTCAAAAAGAGCTTAATCTGAGCAGAGATTTGCTGACATCCTGAGGACTTTTCGTTTATGCCATTATATTTTGGTTTCTCTTTTGTTAATATTCGTTCCTCCTTCTCTCATGTCGTGCAATTTTCCATTTCTTGCTCAAACAATCAGAGTCGGAGTCCGAGCTAGAGTCCTTCGGCTGGCTTTGATTTCGTCAAACGCTTTTAGGAATGCAAAATATCTATAGATCGACGAGAACATGGAATTTAATGATTGAATTAAATGGCATTCGGGGGCACTCAATTAAGACAATAAGCAAATCGGTATTGAAAGACAGAAACAGCAATTTAAGACTATCTTCAATTGATATATTTGCATGAATGTATGTATTCGTTCAAAGAAGGTAAATAAAACTTTTTTTTTTTTATTGAATATGGTTTTATTCAAGTATTTAATAAGTTCTTAAGTCTGACTAAATATAAAAAAATATACAAATCGAAGCAAACTGTGTTGTATGTTTCCAGAAGGAGAATGAGTTGGAAAAAAAAAATTAGTTTTGACTTCTTTGAAAAATGAATGCACTCAAAATTTCTGTATTTATTTATTTAAGATGTGCGCTTCTGTATTTAATTCCGTGTAAGCATCGATGCACACATATATAATAAATCATTTAATCTATTGAATGACTAACAAAACTAAATCTTACAGATGTAGGAGGAGGAGGCCTCCGATGTGTTGACTGTCGACATTATTTATATAACTGCAATGTTAGCAGAGATCTTTTGAACGCAGGACATAATGAAGATAGTATAGTGGATTTACTACCAAATGAGAAACCAGATCGAACTTATAAGAAATGCTTATTGCCCGGTAAAAAAGTATCTGGTAACTTAGCTTTTGTCTACCCATTCACATTCTGATTGTGATTCTATACAATGTATTATAATATTATATTTTATTTAGGGCCGATTTTCAGTACTGTGTGTTCTGCTACCAAAGACAGAACCTGTGGCGTGTTAGATACTCGTAGAAATGTCCTTGTGAAAGGCATCCAATATCAGTGTAGATATTGTGCTGCGCCTTGCAAATGCAAGTTTCGTGGCGGAAAAGCATCGAATATGAAAAAGGACGCTAAACTGATTATATGTTCAAGCCTGTTTCTTTCTTTGACGTTAATTAATAATCCGATTTTATAACATAAATTAAATACAATAGAAAATTTATTTAAATTAAAAATTAAAATTTGAATGATCACCTATTCATAGAGGTACATATAAAGTATTATATTTAATATAGCCAAAATCCCAAATTTAGCGTTACTCTCATATTCGGGCTTTTAGTCAAGTTATACTATAAAATATTACAACTACGAATAGCCGCAAATAATCAACTAGAAAACGATTTCCCTGAGATGAAACGGATATTGTCCTAATGAAATGCAGAATACTCGACCAAGGGCACCAGAAACAAACTTGGTGAGACGAAAACGCTACCCACTGTATGTAGTATTATATCTATTTAAATTCCAAATTATATTACTTTATTAATCGCAATTGAAATTTGTATTGTATTTGAACTCTCAGCTGCTACAAGCAATGAACTAACGATGGCAGAGGTGATTCGCGTGTAGAATTTATGCCTGGCGATGTTAGAATCTTGTGAATACCCTAAGCCAATGGTGAGTCCGGGTATATTGGTTTTGACATCATCTTATACGTATGTAACTGCGTCGTATAAAAATGAACAAGCTTGCATTCATTATCCAAAGTTTTTATAAACATTCTATATATACTATAAGATTCAATTGAGATCCGTTTAGTCGCTTGGAAGGTAGTGGCAATTAGTGCACACACACAATCCCACTACAATTGAATTGTACATGAATTATCCGCACTTTTCCACTTATTTCGAACAGTGAAGTTTGGGTGTTGCTTCATTTCACATTGCCTAGCAAATTTTAATAGCATCAATAGCTATTCCCGTGTTAATGCTATCGACTACATCACGTTTCATAAGTTAGAGGATTATTAATTTAGAGCTAAACAATTTTTAATTCGACTCGTTTCCCTTACGAGTGGGTTGTAAACCGTGAGAGCTAGAGTTTTCATAGGTCCACCCATGAGTATAAACATTTTGTATTATTTTGAGACGCATTTTGTACATATACACTATTATTTCATGTCATTATTACGTTCTGAAAGTTCAATTAAGAAGTCCATCTACAGGAAATATAACCTAACTTCATGAAGAATATATCAGCCCTTCCCAAAGTTTTTTTTTTCTCCTAGCGAGCAATCTCGTCTAGAATACTCTTATTTTTATTTTGGTTTATTTAATTGAGTTGAAAACCAGTTTTATTTGTTTGCAAGCAAAAAGCAGCACAATCATTAAAAGCAAATACATATAAGTTGTATGCGGCGCAGTTGCAGCGCAGCTTTAACGCTGCTGCAGAGCTCACGTTTGTGCCGATTCGCTGCTATTTTGTCCACCTTTTTCTGCCACACATACTTTTTTGAGAAAGAGAGATAGAGAGAGAAAAAAAAACACGACAGAGCGAGAGTCAGAACACTTTAGCTTTTTTCCTTTTTCTTATCATAATGCGATTATTTTTGGGCTGGCAAAAATAAAAGCATGGAACTTTTACGCAGACAGAGAAAGTCTTCTCTCACTCTATCTCTCTCGCCTTGCTTGTCTCTGCGTCCGTCTGCCTGTTTGTCTGCCACTCTGCGTATGTGTGCATGTGTAAGTGCGCTGTGCTCAAGCTAGCGGGAGCTTTAAACTCGTTATTGCCTGCTGTTGCCATCGCTGCAGACGCTAGCGCTGGCAGCGCCGTCGCTAAGCAGCTTCTACTCGCTATCTCGCTTGCTCCCGCTGCATATTCACTTTAGTTTTGTCGATTGCGTTGCTTTTCATTGTTTTCTCTTATTCTTCTTGTTTTTGTCTTCTCTGTTCTCTGTTCTGAATATAGTCTGCCCTCTTTGCGTTGCTTTGCTTTTGTTTTTGTTTTTATTGTGCTTTTAATTAGAAATTAGTTCTACTTCATTAAAATTACTTGTGCTCGACGATGTGCAAATTGCCGTTACTTGACCATTTTTTTTTTCGATTAATTCAAGAAAACTTAAGCAACAAATATCACATTTACATCACAAAATAAAGTCAATGAAAGCTGCGAACACGTGCTTAAAATACCCTTTGCGATCCCAATTTATGCAAACTTCATTTTCAGCAATATTAATTATTTTTGCAATATTGTGCAACAATTTCAACCACATCTGATTACATTATGCTAAGAATAATCAAAAGCTTTTGCTGTTATTCACAATTATGCATTTTATAAATAATTAAGCGAGAGCCAATATTAATTACATATTCATGCATACGATACACCGTGCGAAATACCAGCTTCATTTAATGTTGTTTTTCTAAGCTATTTACAAACATGTGCGAAATACCATGTTTAGTTTAGTTTCTGATCACATACAGTGAATACTTTTGAGTCCAAAAATTGACATTTATTCATTTTTTTTTCAGCAATACTCAATAAATATATCATAATTTTTTGCGTGTTAAATCGCGTTTTCAGTTAAAATATTTCAATCTGAGGGCGCTCAGTGTATATACAGTTATTTGTAATTTGGCAACGTTGCAATTGCCACGACAATTAATGAAAGAAAAATGCAAAATGGTAAAAAATTAATTTTACATACATACATACATATATATGTATCACGTACTACTTTAACAACTTTACAAACAAACAAATTAATCTTTTAATTACTTAGCTTCACAAGGGGCGTGTCACTCATACTAACTCATACTCTTCTCTTTTCTCTCTCTCACACACACATGCACACAGATGGTCGCTCTTTTTTTTTTTTTTAAGATCACATCAGTATTATGCACATTTCCTTTTTTTTTTTTTTTCAAACTTTTGCATAAATAATATTTTTATATGTGTTGTGTGTGTGTGATTCTCATTTATTTATTGATAAATTTATTCGTGCTCCTATTTATAGGTTGTTCCCTTTTGTTATTGTTGTTTTTGCTCGCTGCTCGTTAGCCCGTTCGTTTCATTTCCATACGTTTTATTTTCACGCACAGTGGCACAAACGCGTCATAAATATTCAGCACATGGTGTGCAAACCAATTCAAGCATATTCACCAAACTAGTCACACAGTGCGTGCAAATGCCATTGCGAACGCCGACTTCGACGTCGACGTTGACATCAACGCAGCCGTTGCAAAGAGATGAATAAACTAGCGCGCAGCGCAGCACATACACCGAACATTTGCAATAATTGTAGCTGTGCACATTTTAGACAAATATTCTTCGTCTTCTTCTTCTTGTTGTTTTGCCTTTACTTTTTTGCACTTTCACTAAATGTATTTATGTGATATATACATACATATACAACACTTTAACTGCAATACTTACACTTACTGAGTGTATATGTAGGAAAGGCAATTCAATTGCGACTGCTAATTTTAGGTGTTGTTTATTTACTTTTATTAGCCTTGCCCTACGGTCGGCTTTTTAGCTATTTAGTCACTTTGTTACGCACGGCTAATGCTCTGCTTCATGTTTGTTTTGCCGTCGGTCTTTTTACAGCTGCTTTGGCGTTCGCGTTTGTGGTGAACAAAAAAATTTCGAACGAATGCCGCCATTCAGTACCGACGAACCTCACACATTCGCGTTTTAACAGAAACTGAAACGTTTCATTGCCAAGGCGTTGCGTTACGTTGTAGACGATTGTAGCGGAACGCATGAACACGACGAAACGACCTCCCGACCAACCAACAGACTAACCGACTAACCGACCGAACGACTGACAAGCATGAACAACATGACGACCGTCGCGACGGTGAGACATTTCGGCAAGACCAACGCTCCGAGTGTGGTGAATAAACATCGGGAGGTAAGCAGGCAGGCAGGCAGCTGGGCATCAGTATGAGTAAGTGAGACTGTGTTTGTGTGTATTGCGACATCGGCAGTCGCCCTGCATGTGAATACGCCATCACTTGACTGTGTGCATGTAGTTGTGGATATTTCGTTTGTTTACAGTTTTACGTTGTTTTCTGTTGTTGTTCTTGTGATTTTTTTTTATACTTGCTTTATGTTGTTTCATTCCATTTGATTGTTTTAAATTGAGATTTGTGTGCCAAAAGCGTCGCAGCGGTGGTATTGTGTACAATGTTGCTGCTCCTCTTAGCTTTTTGTCTTTTCTTTTTAATTTTTGCATTTGCTTCATATAAAAATTGCTACCCCGCAACAAACATGCACCGCAAATACAACCGAAACTTGTCCCATACATAATTTCTCTCTGCCTACGTGTTGCTGATAATTTTCGTTCATTTCTATTCTATTTTCATTTTTGCCGTGTGAGAGCTAATTGGATTATTTGGGCAAACAGGGAATGGTATGGTAATGGAACAAAGTTTTTGATTAGGTTTCAAGTTCTCTGAGCACCCACTGTACATGAACGTACGTGTGTGTGTGCAATAGTGTGCGTGCATGTATGTGTGCGTATTTAACCCATGGCAATCGCACATTTCACATGGGCGCTCATAAACAATGTATTAAGTTAATTAGGGTTCATTTAATTTCGTTACACATGTCCGCAAAGCATCAAGTTATTACCGTTATTATACTCACGAATATGAAATGAGTATATTGGTTTTGTGCAATGTCCGTTTTGCTGTTTGTCCGTCTGTCCGTCCATGAGCAGTTTATTAAACATCATCATCATCGTGTATATCTCCGGTTTATAAAGTGTTAACATTTTCCGAACCCGCCCATTAAAAGCGTGGCAAATCGGAAAATGCATTTTCCGATATTTGTACTATATATTTAATATTATGCTAAATTTAAGGCAGTATTGATGCTAGAGACTTGAAATATGACATATACATACATATACTCGGGCTGCCCACCCCAAACCAAAAAGCTATTGCGGATATATGTCCGCCCATAGGGGGCGTGGCAAACGCAAAAGCATGAGCTAGAAGCTTCAAATTTGGCTAGTTGAGATACTGATAACCTCCTCTATCGATGACCCAAAAATAATTGTTACGCCTCTTCAGGGGCGTGGTATATTGCAAAATAGCCTGTAATTTTCACATTTTTGGAAAGTTAGCTCGTTCTAGGAACTGGTCAAAAATGAGGTGTCTACGCCCAGTGGGAGCGTGGAAAATCAGGAAAAACT